GTCAGTCGAGAGTAAATCGGTGTTTGGAAATATCGCCTTCGACAATAATCATCAGCGTCAGCAGCATCAGCAGCATCAGCAGCATCACCATCCGCATCATTTAAATCATCAGCGTCATCATCATCAGCATCATCATCAGCATCATCATCACCATCACCATTATCAGCATCAACATCCTCATCCTCATCCACATCCGCATCCTCGTCCTCATCCGCATCATCATCAGCATCAGCATCGTCATCATCATCCTCACAACCTCCACCACCATCATCACCATCATCACCATCATCATGATCATCATCATTACCATCATTGAAATCATCGCTGACATCCACATTTACCATGTCATCCCCAGTACCATCCTCATCCCCATCATCAACACCATCATCGTTATCATCATCGCCATCACCATCATCGGCAACATCATGAGCATCAGCAGCAGCATCACCCCTGTTCTCATCCATCTCTTCCTCCCACTCCTGATCAATCCCCTTCTCCACCTCCTCACACTCCCCTGCATTTCTTCGACCACTCCAGAGCCCACACCACACGGCCCAACATGTCACAGAACCGCTCGGAAGTATGGCCACACACACGCGCGCACACACCCACGCACGCACACACACACACACACACACACACACACACACACACACACACACACACACACACACACACACACACACACACACACACACACACACGCACACACACACACACACACACCCACATTGACACACACACACACACATTGACACACACACACACACACACATTGACACACACACACACACACACGTCCCCCGCCCCATTGGCGGGCCAGCCTGGGAACGGTGCCGAAGCACGCGATGGTGTCGTGCTCCTCGTCGTGGTTCGGTGGTATCATGTCCTCCGGAGTAGCGGTGCGCAGAAGGAAACAGGGGGAGGGGGAAGGCTTCTTGGAAGGAGGCTGCTCCTCAGAAGGCGCCGGCCCTGGACCTGCAGAGAAGGCCCAGGGCCGTCCAAGAGAGTTCGAGGGGACTTGCGGGCAGTGCACTCAGTGCCTCGCTGCACGGTGGCCGATCTTCAAAGCGAGCGGCTCGCGGGCGATCGCGCACGCCATGAAGAGCACTGTGTTGCGTGCCCACCGCGCGGCCACAGGAGCATGCTGCAGCCAGGCGCGGCCTCCTCCTGACATGTTTCCCCCCGTCCTCCGCGCTCCCCCTTCCCAGACCCCCGACGTAATGATTTTTTCATTACGTCGACCTCCAGAGGTCCCGACCCTTTCTCCATGACCGGCTTTGCATCCTGAGTCGTTCTTTGACGCTCCCGAGGCCCGGCGAGGGCCCCCGGAGGCCGAAAATTAGGAAAAACCTCCCGTCATGATTTTTTCATTACTCGAGGGGGTCTGGGCCCCTTCTGCGCGTGGCCGAGCCCTCTCCCGGGGCGCCGTCCGGCCAGGAGCTCGCGAGGCGCATCCCGCGGGGGCGATGCTCCGCGAGCCGCGCCGCGCGGCGCGCGGCGCGCGGACTCCTCCGCGCCCTCGCGGAGCGCCGCCCGGAGAAGGGCAGCACTCCGCCGCCCAGGGGGCCGCGGCGCGCGGAGGTGGAGCGATCGCCCCCCCGAGGCGCGCGCGCGTTCGAACTCGGCGGCGCGCCCGCCGCGCGGCCCCGCGCCGCCGTGGAGGCTCGGGGGGCAGCCTGGGGGCGGCACGCGCGGCGAGGAGCACCTGCTCGCTGCTGCGGCGGTCGCCGAGGGTGGCGCAGTTGAGGGGCCCCACGGGCGCACTGCGGAGGTCGGCGGCCTCTTTCGGCCGCAGTGGATGACCACCTCCAGCACGCCTGTCCCCTTCCTCTGCATCCCGCGGGCACGGCGCATGATGGCCAGGCGGGTGGGAGAGTAGCGGATGCTGATCTCGTCGCTGTCGTTGATGTATTGGTGGCCGTTCCCATCCGCGCCCTCGCGCCACGCGAGAGCCGGCCGCGCGGCGAGGCGACGAGGCACCAGAGGTTGCCGCAGCCCGCGCAGCGCGGTTGACCGTCGACTCCGCCAGCGCGTCCGAATATGCACCTCGTCTTGACAGGGTGCACGTGCATGCTGCACGTCTCTCTCCTTGCCCCGGTGTTCCCTCCACGCTCCCCGGCCCCCGCGCCTTCTCCTCCGTCGTGCTCCCCCCGCCGTCCCCTGCGCCTCCCTCCTCTTGCCCTCGTCCTCCTCGCACCCTCGGTGGCCATCCCCCTGTTAGCGTAGCCAGTATGGGCCACACGCGGGATGTCGGCATCATCGCGATCTGCCTGTTGTTGGAGCGCCACTCCACGAGCAGCACGCGACGGCACTGGAGCAGCGCCGTGGCGTCGTTGAGATCAGCGCTCTCTTCAGGGCGGTTGACTTCCATCGGGATCGCGGCCACGCCATCGTCGTTGATCTCATCCGCCCCCCGAACAATTCGCCGCCGAGCTCGGTGCTCAGCTCGCGCCTGTTCGCTGGAGGATATCGGGGGCCGGCCTTAATTGCTGAAAGCGTTCGACCCGCCTTCGTCCATCCATGTCTCCACCGTGCCAGGCATCTTGGCACATGCGGAAAGCCTGCCCGCGGAAGAAGTCGTCGTCGCTGCCCGCCCAAACGAGGGGCGTCGTAGAACCCGCGCACGCAGGCATTGCACCGCACCATCCAGTCCCGCCATCCGTCGATGAGCTGGCCGTCGAGGTAGACGTCTGGAATCTAGTCTTTGGCCCAGTGCCCCAGGACCTCCCCCATCGCCCCCATCTGTTCGCGAGCTCGCTGTGAGTCCTGGGCGTTGCAGTCGGGCGTGGGAGCCGCGGGCGAGCGCGGCACGTCGTCTTCATGCACGCCGCGGCCCCGCCGGGCAGCGGCCCTGGGCCCTGGGGAACCACGCGCTGTGGCGATTCAGGATCGCCCAGTCGATGTTGCCGCGGTAGAGGGAGTGCTGGAGTTCAGACGCGGATGCAGCTTTCGATGTCTTTTCTTGATGATGCCTCGGCCAATTCCCATACCGCGCGCGCGCTGTCCTCGAACTTGAACTCGTCGCTACTGGCAAGACCCAGCGGCTCCCATCCCTTGCGCGCTGGCTTTTCTATCGGTCATCCTCGCGCGCCGCGCGGCGTTCGTCTCGGAGACGAGCCGGCGCCCGGAGCATTTGCGCCGCGAAACTTTGCGCGCGAGGGAATGCGCCCCATTGCTCGCGGCCTCATGCCCGCGCGCTATCGCCGCCTGGCGCCGCCGGCAGTCGGCGCGCCAGAAACCTTCGATGACTTCGAGTAGAGACAGGCGTTCTTCAGCTGCTTGGCGCAGTTGGCGCAGGGCGGCTTGCCAACCTTCGATCGCGCGGCCGGCGGCGCGGCCGGCGGCGCGCCGCGCGGCGGGGGGGGGGCGCGACCTCCAAGTCGGTTGGAACGTCAGCTCTGCCGCGGGCGCGCATGGCCAAGATGCCCATCTCGGCGAAGCCCGAAGGTCCAAATCGCATCAACGCGCGCAGCGCGCGAGTTTCGCAAGCCGAGAATCTGGAGGTTGGCGCGCGCATCGGACAAACGCATGGGAGAGCGGCGACCGCGGCGGCGTCGTAGATCTGGGCGCCCCGCTGCAGCAGGCTGCGCGGCTCGACCGGCGCCCGGGACCGATGCCGCCAGTTCGCGACGGGCGCCTGTCATTGATCTGGTAGCGCAGCCGCGGGGCCGACGCGCGCCCCAAAGTATTTCGCCGCGCCGCCCATCCGCGCCGATGCCCAGGGAAGTCCCCCGCTGCTCGCCGATGCCGCGGATCCCGCTCCGCGCGTCGCCCGCCAGCTGGTCGCCGATCCTGGCCCGGGGCGGCGCGGGGGGCATTTCTTTGGTTGGAGACGCAAGCCCGCGGAGTCTGCCGCGGCCTGGACACAAGGGCGACGCCGCCTGGAATCTTGAGTTGCGGCGAAGGCGCGCCCTGGGTCGCCGGCGCGAGCGCGGGCGAGCCAGGCGCCGCCGCGACGCAGAGCCGAGTAGCGTCGATGATGACGCGATCAAAAAGATTCAGCGCCCGCATCGACCCGCCGCAGGGGGCGCGCCCCCGCAGCCCCGCTCTCCGCGATGAGAAGCGGCCGGGAAACATTGCCATGCTGAGGGAAACCCATTGAGTCGCGGGAGACGGTTTTGATCGCGCTCGCGAAGTTGCCACGCAGCCCCCGTCGCGAAAGAACTTCCAATAACCATGCAACGGCCCGCGCAAGAGGACGACGCGGCGATGTCCACGCAGAAGAGGCAGGGTCGACGTCTGTCGGCGTCGGGAAGGGAACGCCGCATGCCGCAAAAGGCGTCGACGTTGGCGACGCTGGAAAGCAACTGTCTCCCAGGTACGAGGCCTCTCTGCACCTCGCGCGCGTTCTTCGCCGGCGGGCGCAGTTCCCTGCTGTTCGCAGACGCCGTTAGTTGTTTGGGTGCTGCTCTTCTTCATCGATAGCTGTCGCAGTTCGCCCTGTGCGCGCGCGGCCGCGACGTGGCCGGCAGGGTCGCCGCCTTTCGGGGCATCTCCACCAGCGAGAAGTTGCAGTCATGAGGCGCCGGTCTTCCTTCGGCCACGCGTTGCGCCAGCCCTGCTGGAGCGTCGAATCTCGGCGGCGTCGCAGAGGATGATCTGCGCCCAGGGCTGAACCCTGAAGCGCGCACGGCAGCCTGCCCCGCGTCGGCAGCGTCGACAACGACCCGCGGCGCGGGCGGGGGAGGGCCCAGGTAGCTCCGCGCCCCATCCCCGTCGATTACTCTGTCTGCAAAGATTGGGGCCCCATGGCCCCGATGGCGCCGCGCGCGTTCGCGGGGCCCCCCTCGATGGCGGCGGCCCCGCCGGCGGTTTTCATGACTCGCCGTGGCTTCTTGCCCGCGCGTCTTTCTTTCGCAAGCGATCTCCGCGCGGTCGGCGTTCTCGAAGCGCTCGCCGTGTTCAGGCAGCAGCGCGCGCCCCTCGCTCATCAGCGGCTGCGGCTCGCGCCGGCGTCGAACGCCGGGGTGGCCCGTGAGCTCCGTCGCCATCGAGTCATTCACATGGAGGCCCTCGTTCAATATTTCAAATTCTTGCGCTCCACGGAAGGTACCTGCCATTTACAATATGACCAATGCCAGTCCCTTGGCGACACGATATGATTCGCTTTTGCAGCCTCGGGGCGAAGTCGTCGAATTGCGCCGCGCGCGCTGCCTTTGCAGCGTCGGCCTCGAGAGCGCCCCGCGCGCCCACTGCGTCTAGCGCACTGAATTTCGCGAGGGCGTTCACTGGCTGCACATAATTGGCGCCAAAGGAGTTCTTGAAAATCATTGCTGGCATCGCTCGGTCACCAGCAGTCTGCTGCTCGGTTTCATCCTGCGTTGCAATGTCTTGCGATCGCTGATGCGCCCCCCCATCGTCTCCAGCGGTTTGTCGCTCACGGCAAGGATGGTCATCGCCGGTGTTGGAAAAAATCCTCTCTCCAAGTTCCCTCTTCATAGGCCCCTGCAAGGATGCATTTCCAGTGAGTGAGGGAAATGCCCCGCGGGGAAACACCCGGTTGAAGATCCTGACGCGTGCCGGCGAATCGACCCGGCTGTTGCGTCTTGACGATCCTGAATCGCGCCAGAACGCCATTCTTGGAACTTCAACACCGCGAATCAAGATAAGGGCTGCGCCACGGCAGTCCTGAATCGCTGCAGAACGCCATTTCTGACACGCTATCCATGGAAACCCGTGGAACTCTTCGAATATTTGAAACGATTGCGCGCGGCGCTGAAGCGAAAACCACAACTTGAAAAGGAACCGCCCTGAATCCGTGAATCTATTGTATTTCTTTAGAACGAACGCGCGCGGCGCTGAGGCAAGAGCCACATTTTGAAAACGGCCCGCCCTCAATCCACGAAGCTCTTGCATGCACTAACGATGCGCACGGCGCTAGCGCGAAAACCACGCTCTGAAAGGGAACTACTCTCATTCCGCGAAGTTTTTGTTGCAGTGTTTGCAACGAGCGCGCGCGGGGCGCTACGCGAAAACCGCACGTTCAAGACCACCCGCCCTCCGCGTGTGAAACTGTTGGAAGATCTCTACACTTCAGGATCACAAGTGGTGAGGAAATTTCAGGCACAACGACTGGCCCGCTCTTTCGTCCAGCTCTGGGGTGCGACAAAAGGACTACCGGCATCAAAAAGCGGTACGGAATTAAAACAACCCGAACGTTCACTTCGTAGCGCCTTTGCACCGGGACAGTTCCTCCGAAGGGCGGAAAAGAGGCAAGACAGAAACGTTCGCCTTGGGGCGCCTGCGGGTTCCACCGTGCCTGCGCGCGCACTCCTCCAGAAAAAAAACAACCCCAGCGGCGCCTCCGTCGCTCCTGCGCGCGCAAGCCACATACTCACGCTGACCCAAGCCTCCGCCTGCCACTGCAGGCGGGGATTCTGGAACTCCCTCGACCACCAGGCGGGTCACCTGGCGCGAAACTGAGCGGAGCCCAGGACCACCCCCGCAAGTCCTGGAATGGAGGAGGAAAACAGGGGGGAGGACGAGGAGGGCAGGGAGGAGGAGGAAGACGAGGAGGAGAAGGGCAGGGAGGAGGAGGGCAAGGAGGAGAAAGAGGAGGAGGACGAGAGAGGAGGAGGAGGAGGAGGAGGAGGAGGAGGAGGAGGAGGAGGAGGGAACGGAGGAGGGAACGGAGGAGGAGGAGGAAGAGGAGGAGGAGGAGGAGGAAGAGGAGGAGGAAGAGGAGGAAGAGGAGGAGGAGGAGGAGGAGGAGGAGGAGGAAAAGGTGGTGGAGGAGGAGTAGGAGGAGGATGAAGGGGCGATGGGCGAGGCGCGATGATCACGGCGCCCCCTCAACTGCCTGCAGTGCGGCGACCTTGGGGCCTGGCCCGAGGGGAGCGAATCTCTCCCCTGGGCCACGCGGGCCTTCCAGCACTGCACCGCCGCCTGTCGGCGCTGCACCGCTTCGCTTCCCCTGGGGGCGAACCAGCCTTGGAGGCTTGGAAGCGGGCACCAACACCAAGCAGAGGGTTGCTTCCTCCAGGGAAAGACGATCCTAGATTTTGGCGTTGGCTGTGATCCTCCGGCCGCACCGGAGGCCCGAGTGCAACCACCATCACCGAGAGCGAGATCCTCCTCCCTCGCTGGGGGCACACCGCAGATATTGGCGTTGGTGTTCGCGCCCCCCCTGGAGGAGGGAACTCCAGCCCGGGGGCCGCGACGCGTGAGGCGCGATAGGCTTCGCGTCCCCGAGGGGCGACCCAGCGGGGAAACCAAAAGGTGCCGATACAGCTACTCTCCGGAGGCGTTCTGAGCAGAATCCCACCAGCCCTTCAGGGCGTGGGTGCTTCAGGGTGTTTCCTCTTCCACCCCCTCTTTTCCCCGTCGGGGATGGGTTTACCCCTCCCCCTACCCCCTCCCCTGGACCTGGACGGGGCGTTCCGCGAGTCGTCGGAGCGTCCAAAACGGCCTCGGCGAGGAAGCCAAAATCATTGGTTTTACTAGGGTTTGGACCCCATTTGGGCCTCTTGGGTGGGAAAGGGGGGGGGGGGGGGGGGCAACGCTAATTGAGGGACCGACGCTAATTGAGGGATCCCCCTTCTTTTATCGATCTCCTCCGAGATGGTCCCAAGAGCGTTGCCAAGGCCCCAAGAGGCCCCAAAAGGCCCCCAAAAGGCACCCAAGACGCTCCAAGAGGCCTCGGTGACAATGCCAAAATGATTGTTTTTTTACGAAGGTTTTGGCCACATTTGGGCCTCCTGGGAGGGGGGGGGCACTGCTTAAAATGACTCCAAGAGCGCCTGGGACAGCCCAAGGTGACCTCCAAGATGGCTCGAGATATCCCAAGATGCCTCAAGATGGCTCCGACGATGCTCCAAGAGGCCCCAAGACCGCTCCAAGACGGTTCCAAGTGGCCAAAGAGCTCCCCCAGGAGGCCCCGAAGAGGCCAACATCCTTTCAAAACCTTACGAAAACAAATGTTTGTGGCTTTCTCGCCTTTCCGCTTCCGATCGCCATCCGAGGCCTCAAGATGGCTTCAAGATGGCCAAGAGGGCTCCAGGAGCGCTCCCAAGGCTCTCAAGAGCACTTCAAGAGGGCCCCAAGAGGCGCCCAGGAAGCCCCAGGAGGCCCCAGCAGGCGCCCAAGAGGCCTCCAAGAGGCTCCCAAGAGACCCCCAAGAGGCCCCAAGAAGATCTCCGAGGCACCCAAGAAGCTCTAAGAGGCGACAGCAAAGAGGCCCCCAAGACGCTCCAACTTCCCTGATCGAGGCAATTCCTCTGGGCCTCGTTTCTAAATGGGCTGGCGGGGGGTACTCTTTGATCGCGACCACGGCGACAAATCGGGTGGCGTGAAAGTCGAAGCGCTGCGCAACGGCCTATGCAACGGCTAAATTAACTAAGCGCAAAGGAAAAGGAAGGCAAAAAAGAGGAAGAGGACGAACACGGACCGCTGGTGGGGTTACTTTTTTTTGGTGGACGGTTCCAAGGAAAAGTCCAAGAAGCGGGGCGGGCGCGGCTGGGGCACAGGGCGAGATAATTGGTTACGACGGCGCATAGGCCGACGCAGCAAGTGCACCTGCAAGAGGCAAAATGCCCCCCATTCAGATGCGAACGACCCAGGAACGGGGACGCAAACGCCAGACTGAAGCAGACGGAGGAGAAGTCGCACAGTGGCGCCAGCTCGAACCGTACAGTCCAGCGAGCACTGGCTAGGGCCAAACAGCTCAGTGTCAGCACAATGGGCCCGTGAGGCCGCACCGCTCACCACGACGAGGAGGCGAGAGAGCAAAGAAATCGCGGGCAGAAGAGGGGGAGCCGGGAAAGCCTCACTCACTTGGAGTCCTGGGCGCGATCGGACATGAGCCACTGACCAATGCACGGAGACGTCGACCCAGTCGCGGAGTCCAAACCTTGACTGCCTGACCCAGAGTGTCGGGGGAACGGCAGCAGGCATGGCCGAGCGCCATGGACCAACCCGCAGGAGGGCTGGAGCACTGACAAAGGATGAACCACTTGTGCAGTACCTGGAGCACGAAGGTGGCTCCCGCCGAGAGAGGTGGACCAAGTCGTCGGCGAACAACGCAGGCAGCTTATCCATCACGGTGGACGGGGGAGCCAAGCAGCGAGCGTCAACCGGGGGCAAGGGTGGACCAGAAGGGGAACGTCGTCAGTCGAGCGAATGGTGTACCACTTGCCGTTCCGCACTCACCCCAGGTCCGGCCCCCGGTGGTGCCAGGGCAGGCAGAAGGCCCGAGTTGTCAGAACAACACCTGGCAGCAGCGCGGCCCGACCTCACCTCGGAGCTCTGCGAGAGAGCCTCCAGGTGGTACATAGACCCAAGTGCTCCAAAGAGCCTCGGTTGGGGGGAAATCGTGTGTTGCCGAATCCACAGGAGGAGGAGGAGGAGGAGGAGGAGGAGGAGGAGGAGGAGGAGGAGGAGGAGGAGGAGGAGGAGGAGGAGGAGGGGGGAGAGGAGGAGACGCAGCCGATAGCCGCAAAATCCAGTGAATGAATGGAGGAGGAGGTGGGCGACGCCATTGCTTATACTGCGAGACCTTGGCCACTGTGATCTCCACCGCGCGATGCGGTGGGACCTCGGTCGCTGGGGGAACAGAGCGCCTGACCACTGCTGGGGAACGCTATGTCCCTGCTTCAGGGCAGCATCGTCGGGGGGGAAGCACGTGAGGTGCAGAGCGTCAGAGCCAGGTGGAGCGCGTGGGGTGGGCCTATGGCCACCATCCCCGGGCATCCAAAGTAGGTATCCCAGGGGGAACAAAACAGGTGGAGCGCGTGGGGTGGGTCTATGGTCACCGCTGGTGGGGTTACGCGAAACGTCTAGAATTTCAAAGCGAATCCAGCGGTGGCGACGAGGGCCTCTTAGGAGGCCCAGGAAGGCGAAAACGAGGCAAGGGCAGCGGTATCGGTACCGCTTCCCACTCTGACCCTGATCCTGCGTCACCATCGTCGTGAAGACGATCGCGCCCGAGTAGAGCACCAGGAACGTCAGGACCATGACCCACCGGAGACCGCCCAGGGCCTCGGCGACGCCCTGCATCAGCCTGCGCGCGCGCCAGAACGACACGTCCGACGACGGCGGCGAAGGCGGCGACGAAGGCGGCGACGGCGGCGGGCGGAGGCGGAGGCGGAGGCGGAGGCGGAGGCGGAGGCGGAGGCGGAGGAGGAGGCGGAGGCGGAGGCGGAGGAGGAGGAGGAGGCGGAGGATGGTACATCTTTTTTTTGAAGCCCGATCTCGGGGCACGCGTGTCGGCGGCGAGCCCAGGGGGGAAGCGAACCGGGGCAGGCCTTCTCAGAATACCCTTGCCTTCTGTAGAGGGCTGGAGATCCACCCCGATAATAAGCACCCCGACAACGCAACCGTTTAGTAAACGCACCCGACGAAGGAATCGAACAAGAAAGCGCTGTTTAGTAGACGCGCGGGGCCGTTTAGTAAACGCCGATTATGGGGGTCGGGGTGGACTTGTCCTCGTTGACTCTGAGAAGCCGCCTCTGTCTTCGGAGAAGGCTTAGAAAACGTCTCCGAAGGCTCGAGGGCTTCTGAGAAGCCTCGCCTCCCGAGAAGGACCCCCTCGGCGAGTTGACACGCTCACGCGCAGCTGGAGGAGCCCCCCAATCGCCAACCGCAGCATCAGGAGCATGACAGGCGGGCGTCGGCAGATTCGCTGGGCCCACGTGGATTTACACTCCTCCTCCTCCTCCTCCTCCTCCTCCTCCTCCTCCTCCTCCTCCTCCTCCTCCTCCTCCCTCTCCTCCTTCTCCTGAGGACTCCTCCTCCTCCTTCTCCTCCTCCTCCTCCTCCCCCCCTTCCTTCGCTCCCCTCCGCCTACTCGTCATTATCCTCCTCCTCCTCCTCCTCCTCCTCCTCCTCCTCCTCCTCCTCCTCCTCCTCCTCCTCGTCCTCCTCCATCTTCTTCTCATCCCCCTCCTTCTCCAGGTTCCGTGCTGACCGATTCTACATTCAGTCAACCCGTGTAATAGTAAGGATGCGCGGTAAGTACTAGCGAAAACGGCCAAGGATGGGCCGAAAAACATAAAGTGTAGCCTTGGAAAGCTGCTCATCCTCATGATGCAGGTTGACTTTAGCAGGAAAGAAGAAGCTGTCTAGGATCCCATGGGGGAAGATCTGTCAACCATGCCAGACTAACTGCAGGTACCCACGGCTCTGAGACAATGAACGATGGCAGAGAGAGAAAGAGAGAGAGAGAGAGAAAACAACAAAAAAAGAGCGAGAAAGAGAGGGGGGAAGAAAGAGAACGAGCGAGAGAGAGACGTACACGAGGATGGACAGGGGGAGATAAGACGACTGCCAGCGTGGACCCCGAGCAACAAACTCTTCGAGAGCTGGACACATCACATCCCAGACAGGTGGGCCCTCCTCCTCCTCCTCCTCCTCCTCCTCCCCCTCCTCCTCCTCCTCCTCCTCCTCCTCCTCCTCCTCCTCCTCCTCCTCCTCCTCCTCCCTCTCCTCCTCCTCCTCCTCCTCCTCCTCCTCCTCCTCCTCCTGCTCTTCCTTCGTCTCCTCCTCATCCTCCTCCTCCACAGCCCAGACAGGTGGGCCCCAGCACCCGATGGACGGCAACTGGAAAATTACAACAAGCAAATGGGGAAACACGCAGCAGCCAAGACACGCGGGATCCCGAGACTTGGGGGCGACGGCATGGAAATCGCAACAGACACAGCCTAAGGGACCTTGGACGTCATATGGGCGCGAGCAGGATATCCTCACCATATCCACTGTCGCCATCCATGATCACGAGGAAAGAAGGGGGGTAGATTATCTATTGGGTTCAAAGGCGAATATCGCCACGCGGCCAGGATGTACATGTCATGGAGCCGCACCGTAACCACGGCCTGCTGCTCCTCAAGTCCAATACCTCTCACCATTGATATTGGCAGAAAAGATGCGGTCCCACATAATGAGTTCAACAAAACCTTCGTTTCCACAAACGGAGGAGACATGGGGAGAAACGAGGAAAAGGACAAACAGGGAGGCGACAGGGGCTCAGAGGGAAGACGCGCCACATCTGACATCCCCCTCCTCACGCCCACCCCGCCCCGCTCCGCTGAGCTGTGATCTATGCGCCGACCGGGGTGCCCTAGAGAATATCTTGCGATGCGCAATCGGAACGGGAGGCATTGCACAGTGGAGGAGGAACGGGAGGATGCGCAGGGGGAGGAGGAAGATGAGTGGGAGGATGAGCAGGAGGAAGAGCAGGAAGAAGAGCAGGAGGATGAGCAGGGGGAAGAGGACGAGCAGGGGGACGAGGAAGAGATGAGGGACGGAACGGAATGCCTGGAGCAACGCAGATCGGCGTAGGACAGGGTGTGCCACGCCAGGCAAGCGTCATGGGTGCTGGATCGGGTCGACTGGGCCCAGGGATGCAGAGGACGGAGGCGGGGGACGAGCATCGCGCGCCACTGGAGGAGAGATAGGAGGGAGAGGTCCGACGGTCCTGTCACAACCCCCCAGGGGAGGGGGGGGGGCCATCGGGGAGGACCCTCCTGCCTGCCTCCACGGCGCGGCCCTGAGCCCACCGCGCCGCGGGCCAGCGCCGCCCCCCCCCCCCGTGAACAGAAACATCGCCGTGCAATCAGCAGTGGGCAGGCCATCCTGCCCCTCCTCCCTGCGGCGGCGGCCCAGGCCTCGAGCCTCCTCCTCCCCGTCCGAGCCGAAGGCTCGCAGGAGGAGGAGGAGGAGGAGGAGGAGGAGGAGGAGGAGGAGGAGGAGGAGGAAAAGGAGGAGGAGGAGGAGGAAGAGGTGGAGGAGGAGGAGGAGGAGGAGGGGAGGAGGAGGGGTGAGGAGGAGGAGGGGAGAGGGAGAGGAGGAGGAGGTGGAGGAGGAGGAGGAGGCGGAGGAGGAGTAAGGAGGGGGAGAGGGGCGGACGGTGGAAGCTTCGGGTGAGGAGGAGGGAGGAGGGAGGAGGGAGGAGGGCTCAGGAGGAGGTAGGAGGAGGATGGAGGAGGAGGAGGAGGGAGAAATTTTTTGTTTAGGGGTGAGGAGGCAGGAGGAGGAGGAGGCGGCGGAGGAGAGGAGGAGGAGGAGAGAGGAGGAGGAGGAGGGAGGAGGAGGAGGAGGAGGAGGAGGGGAGGAGGAGGAGGGGGAGGGAGGGGGAGGAGGAGGGAGGAGGGAGGAGGGAGGATGGGAGGGGAGGAGGAGGTGAAGGGGGAGGAGGAGGAGGAGGAGGAGGAGGTAGGAGGAGGAGGAGGAGGAGGTGGAGGAGGAGTGAGGAGGAGGAGGAGGAGGAGGGAGGAGGGAGGAGGGAGGAGGGAGGAGTGAACCAGGGGCCCAGCCCGCGGGCTCCCAAGGGCGCCCCCCCCTCGCGACAGGGAGCCAACCTGTTCCCCTCGCCTGGCCCCGCAAACGCCGCTGCGGCGCCTGGGCAAGAGGCCGCGGTGGGGCCCGCAGGAGGCCCTCGGCACCTGGAGAGACCGCGGCACGCGGAGCAAAGCAACAAAAAGGCGGCGCCCCCATCAGAGAGCACAGGGAACTCCAGGAGGCACTGGCCCCTCTCCTCTCCATGGGCATCTGCTCGGGGCTTTTTCCGTTCCGAAGGCTTGGGGGACGGGGCGGGGGAGAGCTCGCCTGGAAGGGGGGGGGCCTGACGCAGCGGCAGCCCTCCCCTCCGCCCCAGCTTCCTCCGGGCACACCCCGAACTCCCCATCGCCATCCAGGTGCGCCAACGTCAGGCCCAGGGCCCCTAAATTGTCGCAGCGGCACCCCTTGGAGCAGAAGACTTCGGCCCGAGAAATGAGCTTCAGGATAGACCTGGTCGAAGACAGCGCGCGTTTTGCCGGCGAAATATCGGCCTTGTCGTGGACGGCTGAGGGCCACGCCTGCCTTGGCAAGCCTGTCAGCCCCCCCGAGTTGCCCGCTCTTTCGAATTCCGAGATCCGACCGTTGCGGATGTCCGCCTGCGTGGGATGAGCTAGCACCTCGTTGGTGGGGAGCCCCCCCGCGCCCCCCTCGCACCAGAATATTGCGCCAAGGCTGCGCCATCACACCGGCTGGACAGCAGGCAGAACGCTTGCCCCGTCAAAGCCGGGCCGCACCACGCCAGCCCGAGCACGAGGCGACCTCGCCACCTGTGGAACGAGCGGCCACGAAAATTGCATTGCCCTCGCCGTCGGGGGCCACCTTGCCCGGGCACAAGCTCGGGGGGACGCTCGTGGCCATGGGCGGCCACGCCCCACCCTGCCGCGCTGAGGGAAGGGAACAAGCCATCTAGACCCGAACCGTTGCAAAAACGCTGCCCCCCCGGGGCATGCACCGGGCGCCCCCGCTCTCGACCCTGATTTCGGCTGGCGGACCCCAGAACTTTTGGGGAAGCGAATGGCGCGGATCGGGCAGGAAGCCTCCAATGCCAATGCAGCGGGCCAGACGACCAGCCGCCGCTTCGGCTTCAGGGGAAAGGTTGCCCCTTCGCCAAGCCGCCCTCGCAGGGCAGCCAAAACGCCTCCGAAACAGAGCGCCGCCGCCGCCGCATCACAGGCACTTATCCGGCAGCTGCGGGTCGCGCCGGCGCAGGCGACGCTGGCGCCAGCGCGACCCCATGATCAGACCTCTCACGGCTCGCTGCCAGGGCCCCTCAGCGCTGCCAGGCCCCCCCTCTGCATCTCCCGCAGCAGCCTTGAAGCGCAGGGGCTCACTCAACGGTCTCCGACAGATGCCCCCCCGCCAAGCGTAGCCTGGGCCGATCTTCGAGAGCCCCGCGCAGTCCGAGAAGCGCCCGGCCGCGAGACGGGCCCTGCGGGCCAGAAAAACTGGGGGGGCCTCGTCTACGCCCCACTGCTCACCCGCGGCCTCCTCAACCCTGGAGCAGGTGGGGATCGGGGGAGCCGCGGGGCCCATGGCCCCAGCCCACGGAGGCGCGGCTTTCGGGCCAGCCCCTGGCCCCCGGCAAAGGGGAACGCAGCGCGGGGGCCGACGGGCGCCCGCCCTCCAAGATCTGCCCACGCGCTCGGATCGCAGCCGAGGTCGCCGGCGCCAGGGGGCCCCGCGCCCGCCCGCCCCGACGGCGCATCGGCGCAAGCTCCAGCGAGC